AATGTCCGGCAGCAAATTCCAGTCCCGAGAGCAGCCCCCAGACATACCACCCCCTCCTGGCTAGGCCCATGCAAGTGAGGGAGGGAAAGAGCCGAAAAGAAGTGGGCGTGGGCAGTGCATCTCCCGCCTCTGTCACCCACCTGGCCCCTTGGTACATCTTCTGCCTCTGTCGACCCCCTGGCGCGTCTCCCGCCTCTGTCCCCCGATGAATCTCCGGCCACTATCACCCTCCCGACCCACCAGTGTAGCCCCACCCTGCCACTGTCACATACACACACCCATCACGTCTCCAGGCACTGTCAACCCCCGGTGCGTCTCTGGCCACTGTCAACCCCCCGGTGCGTCTCCCGCCTCTGTCACCCACCTGGCCTACCATTGCAGCCCCACCCCACCACTGTCTCACACACACACACACACACACACTCACACACACAGCACGTCTCCAGACACTGTCACACCCCCCGGCTGCCCCGGCCCGTCTCCAGCCACTGTAAACACCCCCGGCCTGTCTCTCTCTCTCACACACACACCCCCCAGCGCGTCTCCGGCCACTGTCACTCACCTCGCGCCCCGGCGCGTCTCCCGCCTCTTTCACCCAGCCGGCCCCACAGCGCCGCTCCCGAGTCCCGCCACTGGCCGCTCTGCGCCCCGGAGAGTCCCCAGGAGCGTCGGGCCTCGCGCTCAGGGCCGCCCTCGCCCGCTCCGGCTCAAGGGGGCTCGGCCAGGAGCTCCGCGCTCTCCCCCGCCCGCCACCTCGGCCTGCTCCTCGCGATCCCCGCCCGGCGCCCCCGGACCGGCCGGACCCACCCTTCGGCCCGAGCGAACGGCCCCCGCCGAGCCGCACCGGGCGCCCCGCCCCCGGCGTGTAGGCGATGCGCGCTCCAGCGTTGGGAGCCCGCTCAGCGCGCCTGGCAGGGGCCTGCGCGCGGCCGCGGCCTGGAAGCGCGTGTCTGGCTTCCCCAGCGGGGGCTGGCTGGGCCCGTCCCGGAACTCCCGGGGTTGCCCAGGCCGGGCACGTTGCTGGGCACCTGGCGCTGCCGCTCTTTTCCCGGGCCCTAGACGCATTGCTGGCCCTGCCTGTGATGTGACCAAGGTGCAGCTGCGCCAGTCGGGCCACATGGCTGTGTTTACACTGCAGTCAAACACCTGCAGCTGGGCTGGGCCAGCTGCTTGGGGCTGTAACATCACAGTGTAGAGATTTGGGCTCTGGCTACAGCTCGATCTCTGCGCCCTGCTGCGATGCTGGTAGACGAAGTGCCAGCGCTTGCTCAGGGTGCAGGCATCAGCTCAGCCCTGACAAATTCATAGCTGGAAACCAGACCAGCTCACGTGTATGTTAGCCTTGTTCAAGCAGGGTGCTCCGTTTGTAAAGACCTGTTTACGCTCTATAAAATGCTTGCAAGTTGGTGCATGAAAACCATACTTGTAATGTTTGTGCCCCCTGCTAAAAGGTAATATGTAAGTTTTGCTTTATGATGATAAACAATGCCTGCTCTGAACTTGTGAACGTGGCCAGGAGAAGTGGTTCTCCCACCCATTAAGAAGGGCAATCAAAACTGGGCCCTTGCAGAACATCACAATACAAACACTTAGTTAAGGGCCCTCTGTCACGGACTCACAGGTTGTGCCCACTCTTGGCCCCTGTCAAGGCTGCTTCCCCACTCTGAATTTTAGGGTACAAATATGGGGGCCTGCATGAAAACTTCTAAGCTTAACTACCAGCTTAGAGCTGGTCCGCTGCCACCACTCCCAAATGCGCTAATTTCCTTCCCTGGGTAGCCTTGAGAGACTCTTCACCAATTCCCTGGTGAATACAGATCCAAACCCCTTGGATCTTAAAACAAGGAGAAATTAACCATCCCCCGTCCTACCTCCCACCAACTCCTGGTGGATCAAGATCCAACCCCCTTGGATCTAAAACAAGGAAAAATCAATCTGGTTCTCAAAAAGAAGGCTTTTAATTAAAGAAAAAGGTAAAAATCATCTCTCTAAAATCAGGAGGGAAAATAACTTTACAGGGTAATCAAACTTAAAGAGCCCAGAGGAATCCCCTCTAGTCTTAGGTTCAAAGTTACAGCAAATAGAGATAAACACTCTACCAAAAGGATACATTTACAAGTTGAGAAAACAAAGATAAAAACTAACACGCCTTGCCTGGCTGTTTACTTACAAGTCTGAAATATGAGAGACTTGTTCAGAAAGATTTGGAGAGCCTGGATTGATGTCTGGTCCCTCTCAGTCCCAAGAGCGAACAACCCCCAAAACAAAGAGCACAAACAAAAGCCTTCCCCCCACCAAGATTTGAAAGTATCTTGTCCCCTTATTGGTCCTTTGGGTCAGATGTCAGCCAGGTTACCTGAGCTTCTTAACCCTTTACAGATAAAAGGATTTTGGAGTCTCTGGCCAGGAGGGATTTTATAGTACTGTACACAGGAGGGCTGTTACCCTTCCCTTTATAGTTATGACACGCCCCCCCAAATCACAGATAGTGTTGGACAGCCGGTTCCACACTGGCTGTGATTTCTTCCTGGAGCTCTAGGAGAAAACAGAGTTAATAAGACACATGCACCTTTAGACATACTACTGATTATATAAAAACTAACAATATGTTTCACTTTCCAAGAACAATGTTTAACCAGTTGATTCTGGGAAACTTTCCCGGGAAAGTGCATCAGCTACTTTGTTAGAAGCTCCTGAAATGTGTTGTTTTTCAAAATAGAAATCTTGGAGAGCTAAACTCCACCGAAGAAGTTTTTTGTTATTCCCCTTGGCAGTATGAAGCCACTGTAGCGCAGCATGGTCTGTTTGTAGTTGGAAACGCCGTCCCCAAACGTATGGGCGTAGCTTTTCCAGCGCGTACACAATGGCGTAGCATTCCTTTTCGCTGATTGACCAGTGGCTTTCCCTCTCAGACAGTTTCTTGCTGAGCACAACAGGAAGGAATTCTTGATCCGGTCCTTCCTGCATTAAAACTGCTCCCACGCCCTGCTCGGACGCATCTGTGGTTACTAGGAACGGTTTGTCAACGTCTGGGGCCCTTAGCACGGGGTCAGACGTGAGTGTCGCCTTAAGCTGGTTAAAGGCCTTTTGACACTCATCAGTCCACCGAACTGCATTTGGCTGTTTCTTTCTAGTTAGGTCTGTCAGTGGGGCGGCGATTTGGCTGTAGTGTGGTACAAATCGCCTATAATATCCGGCCAAGCCTAAGAAGGATTGGACCTGTTTCTTTGACTTTGGAACCGGCCACTTTTGGATAGCATCCACTTTGGCCTGTAGGGGATTTATAGTTCCTTGACCCACCTGGTGCCCCACCTGGTGCCCCAGGTAAGTCACTCTGTTTTGGCCTATTTGACACTTTTTAGCCTTAACAGTTAGTCCTGCCTGCCTGATGCGCTCGAAGACTTTTTCCAGGTGCTCCAGGTGTTCTGCCCATGAATCAGAAAAAATGGCCACATCATCAAGGTAGGCAACTGCAGATTCTCCCAATCCCGCTAGGAGACGATCTACAAGTCTTTGGAACATGGCGGGTGCATTTCGCAGCCTGAAAGGAAGTACATTAAATTCATACACCCCTGCCTGGGTGACGAAGGCTGACCTTTCCTTGGCGGGTTCA